CCGAATGAAAGGTTCGGCCGGTGTAGCTAAAGTACCGTGAAGTCTGACCAAGTGGAGCCCAGGTTTCAACAATTCGCTGGCACGAGTTGGGTGAAGTACGGAGACAGAGTGTCGTGCTCAAGCACCAGTGAATTTATGTCGATAGGAATAGGAGGATTCCTGCTAGACGTTCTAGGAGTATGGCGTTTCCAGTTGGAGAACGTGTTTGGCGACACCGTGTGCGTGGATGCATGCGTAGTCAAGGGTTGCTATAACGAATTCCTAGTTGGTGTGGACTTCATGAACGATCACGGCGCTGTTATGGATTTTCGGACCAATGAGCTGAAATATGAGGAAGAAGGACGTTCGGTAGTAATACCGTTCAAGACTAGTGACGCTGCAAAAGGTGTGAAGGTTGCGGCAGTGCGCATGGCGCGAAAAACCCAAGTACGTGGAGGTACAGTAATGCCCATAGAGATCGCGGTGACAGGCGAGGATGGGGAGAAAGGCATCTTCCTACCCACAGTTCGTCTGGGATCCATCTTGTTGGCTATGACAGTGACGGAAGTTCGAGACGGAAAGGCAGTGGTGCCCGCCATTAATGCGAGTGGTGGTAGGGTCAAGCTTCCTTCAAAGAAGGAATTAGGGACGTGGATTCCAATCGAGGAAAATGTGGAGATTCTCGAAATGAATGGCGTCTTACAACGCGATCAATTGCTGGGATGGTTGCGTGAATTGGGAGATGGTGAGACTCCATTGGAAAACGAGGACGAGCTACAAATAGGCATCGAAGACGAAGGTGGACGAGAGCTCATGAAGCGTTTGTTGAGGGTATATAGAAAGCAAGTAGCGGACAAAGGTGACTGCCCACCTGCTACTACACTCGACGTGGAGCATCAAATAGAGACGGGCGACGAGGCCCCTATTCTGTTAAAACGCAGACGACTGGCACAAATGGAAGACACTGTGGTCGAGACGAATGTCAAGAAGATGTTGGGTGCAGGCGTAATTGAAGAAGGCAACGGCGCTTGGGGGATTCCTGTAGTGTTGGTAAGAAAGAAAGACGGCGAGATTCGCTTTTGTGTGGACTATCGAGCTCTGAACAAGATAACGAGGAAGGATGTCTACCCCTTACCAAGAATTGATGAAACCTTGGAAGCATTGGGTGGAGCAGTCTTATTTACGACTCTAGATTTAAGATCTGGGTACTGGCAAATTCGAGTGGCAGCTAAAGACAAAGAGAAGACCGCTTTTACGACAAAACAAGGCCTATATCAGATTGTTAGAATGCCTTTTGGGCTTACGAATGCATCATCAACGTTCCAGAGAATGATGAATAGTGTTCTACGAGGTCTGACGTGGCTCACCTGCTTAGTCTACCTGGATGCCATCGTAATCTACACTCGCGGTGGGATCGAACGGCATGTGTTGGAAGTCGCTTGTGTATTGGAGCGTTTGGCAGCCGCTGGGCTTACGCTACGACTAAAGAAATGCCGATTCGCGACTGAAAGTATGGAGTATCTGGGACACGAACTCAGTTCTAAAGGCGTTCGACCACTCTATAGGTTGGTGACTGCGGTACGGGATTTCCACGACCTACTGATGCTGTGGAAGTAAAACGTTTCGTACATCTTGCTGGTTATTATCGACGATTTGTGGAAGGGTTTGGCGCATTGATGGCTCCAATGACCAAGCTTCTGCGAAAAAAAGCTGAATGGGAGGGGACGGAGGCACAAGAAGCAGCATTTGAGCATGTTAAAGTTGTTTTAACTCGCAAGCCGCTGCTGGCCTACCCGAATTTCCGACTACCGTTTAGAGTGGTTACTGATGCTAGCAAGGTTGGTCTCGGCGCATGCCTTATGCAAGATCAAGGCAAGGGCTGGCAACCAGTGGCATTTGCAAGTAAAGTAAATAGCAACACGGAAGCAAATTATGGAATCACAGAACTGGAGTGTCTTGCAGTAGTTTGGTCGATCAAGTTGTTTAGACCTTACCTCTATGGAAGACGATTTGTGATCGTCACCGATCATGCAGCACTCAAATGGTTAATGACAAGCACAAACTTAACCGGAAAATTGCATCGCTGGGCTCTTACGCTCCAAGAGTACGATTTTGAGGTGGAATATCGTCCTGGCAATACCAACGTGGTAGCAGATGCGCTATCTCGCGCTCCGGTAAACGTGTTGGCAGCAGCTGGCCGGAAGAGACGAGGACGACGACGCACATTCAGTGAAGGGCACTCTGGTTTTCACAAGATGCGGAGAAAGGACGGTAACAGGAGGCAATATAACGACGGCGCTAGAGGCACAACTGAAGAAGGCGCGAACGATGCCGAGGTGACCGTGGCACCAGCGATCAACATGGATGGGACACGAACGATGGCACACGACGGCGAGGCAACAGGCCAAGACTCGACGAAAGTACGGCCAGAACTGATGGCACCGGCGAAGACTGTGGCACCACTGCGGGCCGCCAGACAGCCAGTGCCGCCGGATTCGTCAAGACCGATGACAAGAGCGAACAGGAGGCGTCGGGAGGACGTAGAGCGCAATGCACGCGAAAAGATGACAGCCGAGGACAAGAAGTCGATGAAGCGACGACGGCGGGCAAGACCTCATGCGTGGACGACGTCACAGAAGGTAACGAGGTGCCAAGGACGGTGACAGAAGCAAGGCAAAACGTGGTAATGTTAGACTGTGACGAAGTTCCGGACGACAGTAACGAAAGACAAAGCGAGTTAAGCGGGACGGCCGAGACCAAGGACGACAAAAACACGAAGAAGCCAAAACGACGTGTTACGTGGGCCATGGACGATGTCGAGAGTAGGACGAACACGACGGCTACGGAAGGCGAGAAGGTGATGCCGCCA